TGCGTGCTGCGTGCGTGCGTGTGCACGTACACGTGCGTGCGTGCGTGCGTGCGTGCGTGCGTGCGTGCGTGTGCAGGTACACGTGGGTGCATGTGTGCGTACGGTACCTGTGCAGGTACACGTGTGTGCATGTGTGCGTGCGTGCGTACGTGCGTGTGTGTGCAGGTACACGTGCGTGCGTGCGTGCATGCATGTGCACGCATGTGCACGTAGACGTGCGTGCGTGCGTGCGTGCGTGTGTACGTACACGTGCGTGCATGCGTGCGTACGTGCGTGTGCACGTACACGTGCGTGCATGAGTGTGTGTGTGCACGTACACGTGCGTGCGTGCGTGCGTGCGTGCGTGCGTGCGTGTGTACGTACACATGCGTGCGTGCGTGCGTGCGTGCGTGTGCTTGTATCGAACAATATCACGCATCTGCTTGCTGCCAACCGTTAAACTCCGCATGTGCGCATATGACGTCAATTTTTATAAACATGAAACATCGCTATTGCATGAGAATCACTGAAGAACTGCTCCGTCAATCACGCGAAACGCAAGAGAAATTCAACGACGGCGAAATATACAGCTGTGTTACAAACACGCAGCTAGGGCCTGCATAGCTACCAAATCCCATTGGTTGATACAAATCACGTACCTCAAACTCCTGTTTTATGGTGCATTGTGACCCTAACCCTAACCCTATAAACCAAAAAAAAATATTTGTTGTTATTAAATTGTTGTAAATAAATTATGTAAATATGGATAAACAGAAAACAGGAAAATAATGAAAAAACAGATGGGATTCGATCCAACGACATTTCAGCCGTGTCGTTTCTGCTCTAGGCGTTCAGCTATTGAGGAATTGGGTTTTTGTGTTATGGATGTGCCTTGACAACACTGTGGCGTCATTAAGGAGTTTGAGGCACGTGATTTGTATCAACCAATGGGAATTCGAAGGGCCACGTCACCGAGTAAACATCGTGAGTGGCGTGCGGTGGGCGTAGTCATTGAGGTAATTAGGGTTATTTAAGTTTTATTATAGTTTTTCGTGCGCTTTTAAATGCCAAATTTTTTCAACGATGCTACGATGACATGCTTACCAGCAAACGCTGTGCCAAGTCAGTCACTGTTGCCGACGAATTCAGATTAGACGAATTCCCAGTGAAATTCCCATATGTAATGTTTGTATTAAATTGCCAGTAGGGGGAGCGTGCCGCTGCATATATTAACTCAAACCTTCGGTTTGCACAAGGACGGGCCGTCCGGTGGCACCACTAGTCGAGCACTAAGCCAAGCGCGTAGACAGGGAGGGGGTCCTGGGGGCCCTAGGACCCCCCAATCAAAATCAAAATCAAAATATTTTTTTGGAGGTACAAGATTATCCAATGGATAGATGTCCGATGTCAGGCTGTGTATATTGACGTTAGTCACACAGCATGGTCGGGTTAGGTGTCGTTGTAGAGCTGCAGAAGAAATAGTATTGTCAACAAAACAGCGTCTAAATTAATTTTAAAGCACTATTTTTACATTTAACTCGAAAAAAAAATTTCACACCACCAGACCCCCTTGTTACTCGCTCGAGGACCCCCCTCCCCTCCCAATCCAAATTCCTGGCTACGCCCTTGCACTAAGCGTGCCGCGTGGATAACAGTGTGTCTTCTCCGTGTATTTTACTCTTGAGCACTAAACGTGCCAGGTTACTGCACCATTGTTTCGCCCGTGCATTTCACTCTCACTGGCGCTGAAGGGGGCGTTGTCGTATCAGGTACTACATATATGTACCCGAGGTACATATATGTATACACAAATTGTACCAGACTTGTACTACAGAAGTGTACCTTAACCCTAACCCTAACCCTAAACATACCTCATATAAAAATATAAACATAATACTAAACAACCTAAAACTACCTCGCGTACATATATGTAGGTACCTGATACGACAACGACCCTTCGTGCCTCACTGGCCGTTCATCAATACGTGGGATCAAGGGCGTATAAAGAAGGCCTTCTTTATACGCTCTTGGTGAGATGGTTCTTCTCTTCTCTCTCCCTCGCTCGTAGACGCGCTACCACAACGTCACGTAGATGTAACATTTCTTCGCTCGTGCGTTTCACTCGGGAGCACTAAACGTGCCAAACGTGGATAACGTCTCCTCGCCATGTATTCTGTATTTCGTCGCTCGCCGACCGTTCATTAAACTCACTTCTTCCTTAAACACGACCTTCTCTTCGCTTCTCTCCTCCAACCCAGACGGCCCTACAGCAACTTCACTAAACGTGCCGCGAGGCTAGCAGTGTGTCTTCGCCCGTGCATTTCACTCTCACCCTTACCTACTCGACCGTTCATTAACTCACTCGGTGATTCTTCTCTTCTCGCCTTCGCTTCTCTCCTTCTCCCGGGCAGACGCTCTACATTCTCTACAACAACTTCACTAAACGTGCCGCGTGGCTTCAACGTAATTTCGTAATAACGTTTCGCGTAAATTCACAGCTTCGCCGTGCATTTCACTTTCACCCTTACCTACTCAACCTATCATCTCACGGAGTGGTTCGTCTCCTCTCACCTTCGCTTCTCTGCCTCCCAACGCAGACGGCCTACAACAACTTCACGAAGAACGTGTCGTCGCCGGACAAGCAGCTGGAGCTCAGCTCGCACCTGTCGCAGATGCTGCGCATCTCGCTGCGCATGGTTAGCGGCGGCCAGCACCTGCAGTTCACCGCGCTCGTCACCATCAACAAGATCATCGACATCTGCATCATCCACCAGGTCGGTCACCTGAAGCGCGACCGCGGCGACGGGCCGCAGGAGGGCGCCGACGTCGACCGGAAGTGCGACACGCCCTCGGGTGAGTGCTGACGGACGCCATCTTTGTTTTTAGGGTTAAATGTTGTTTAGATGTTATAGGTGGGAAGGTCATGCATGCAGGCTTGGCTTGGATCTTAGGTTTGGTTAAAAGGTTGAGTTAATTGATAGGTTATAGGTTTTGTCTTAAAGTTATGATAGTAGGTTAGAATTTGTTTTGAGGTTATGTTGGAAGCTAGCTAACGTTTGGTCGGGAAGGTTAGGTTGAGAGGTTAGGTTTGGTTTGAATGTTAGGTTGAGAGGTTAGGTTTGGTTTGAATGTTAGGTGGGAAGCTTAGGTTTGTTTATATCTTAGTTTGAGAGGTAAGATTTGGTTTGGATGCTAGGCTGGGGGGTTAGGTTTTGTGTGGAGGTTAGGTTTGGTTAGAATGTTAGGTTGGTAGGTTATACGTTTTACTTGGAAGTTATGATAGTAGGTTAGGTTTGCTTTGGATGTTAGGTTGGATGGTTAGGTTTTGTTTTGAATTTAGGCTGTTGGGTTAGGTTTGTTTTTAATGTTATGTTTGTAGGTTAAGTTTGGTTTGGATGTTAGGTTGATAGATTAAGTATGGTTTGGATGTTAGGTTGATAGATTAAGTATGGTTTGGATGTTAGGTTGGTAGATTAAGTTTGGTTTGGACGTTAGGTTGGGAGGCAAGGTTTGATTCGGAGGTTATGTTGTAAGGTTAGCTTTCTATATTCCACAGCATGCAGTTACATCGCTGCATATGCGTCTACAACGAGGGCCGTAGCTAATCTGTGGGTGCTTGTCAGAAACACAGTATCCCCACGACTACAATTATAATACACAGAAAAATACATGGATAAGACTACTATTACGGTTGTAATTATGAGTAAGACAATGAGATATGTAGCCGTGCGAGTGAGATAGTAAGTATAATATATTCAATATTTTCAGATATTGAAGAATTCAATTTTTCACAGATATATATATCTGTGAAAAATCCATCTCGGTTAAAACCTTGCTTGTTGTTGTTGTTGTTGTTGTTGTTGTTCTTCTTGTTCTTCTTCTTCTTCTTCTTCTTCTTCTTCTTCTTCTTCTTCTTCTTCTTCTCCGACTCCGGATCTGGAATGTATCAAATCAGGCGGTGCCAGTGTTCCGCAAAACGTTGCTGACAACGACTTCCTGTATATAATGTCATCTCGACGAAGACTTTGTGGCGGGTATACTTCACACGCACCGTTTTTACGAGGCTTTGCAGTCTAACCACCGCTGCTGCTGCTGCTGTACCAGCATGGCTACGTTTCCGTCAGGTCATTCGAGGGGGGTAATGTCTTCTTCGACGCGTAATGCCCACGTGCGAGTGTGCGACTGTGTGTGTGTGTGCGCCCCTGCGCCATCGCTAACTACCTTATCGAGCCACTGCAATAGCGCGCAAGTGAGATTAGTAGAGCTCCACTTACTATCAAACCGGCTACTTGCAACTGTAGCCGCAGGTGCCTTGCCGTGTGGATTCGCAGCTTAGATGCACGCGGGTTGAAAGCAGGGTGATAAGAGGGTACCTAGAGCGCAAAGGGATATAAGTCCCTCTTCGTGATCTTAATGCTTGCTGATTGTCACGTTCCATGTCACAATCAGTACGCACCACTAGTACGTATTTTAACTGATGCAATATTACTGTCTCGTTCGTCCATTTAATCATCTGCATATAATTAGTGAGAAACAAACGATATAATTAATACAAAAGTATAATTTCACGTTTGGGAGACACGTCGAATAGTGGTAATATATACTGACCAGCTTCTGAAATTGGTCCATCATTTACGCTTGCACACGCGCGTGTTTGGCAAACGCGGCCTTAATAATTTTATGCACATAACATTAATATTATGCACGGAGCAGGATTGCTAATCAGGAATATCCAGGGTTCGTCATACACACACCCGTATAGGGGCTGTATTGACGTGGCGGTGTTTTTGTGTCGAATTAAAAAGACAATAGCGGTTCACGTGGTGATGGAATGGCACGTGCGCGAACATAATTTTATTCCTTTGTGCTTTCTCGTCGGTAGGGACGCAAACCTGCATTCATGATCGATTAAACTGAGACTGCATTCACCAAGCCGTGCATACGATGTAACTGTAGTATAAGTTTTGTTAATGTCGTGTGAATGTATGTATGTAACCACGTTACCACGTTATCTGTTACCACGTCGTAGAAGCATTTGATCGCGGCTATACGTATTGTCCACGTGTTTCGGGCAAGAAATAAAATGATGTACAATAGAGTAGGCCTACAATAGTGAGTATATGCAATGCAGTAATAGAGTATACAGATTATCATGAACATGTTAGAAACCTCTCTCGGTATGTCTTGGCCATCAGTATTATACTGAAACTTATACATTTGCTTTATTAGTTTATTTGGCAGAGGGGCTATAAAAGTCATTATTTTAGTGTTGTGATTAAAAAATTTATCAGAAATGTATACATGACTTTGTACAATTCATATCAAATGGAAGTCCACCATGTCACTATGTTTGCATAGAATATATTCAATGTTCTTCTAGAAACATATATTACAAATGATATATTACAAATATAAACAT